GTTGAAGGTGCTGAAAAAACCCTCATTGGAAGTCGAATGCCAAGATGCCAAAAGAGACAATGGTGCTTCGAGAAAGTTGATACAGGCACATGACCATCAGTGCTTGTTTCACAATGGCACTGCGTCGATTGGCTGAACCTGAGAGACTTTCCTACATCATACTGTCCACATTGCCACACGGCCAATGCGCTTCCATAGAAATGACCCGATCGTTGTGGAACATCACAGAACATGATGCTATTATGCATTTTGCATGCTCTAGAGGCATTGTCATAGATCCATCGTGAGGGTGATCAAAGCAATCCTGCACACTCCTGCAGCTGGGGTGTTCATGACATCCAACTGGGCCATCTCAGGGTGTTGCCAAGGATGGAAGAGCATGCAACATTGATGGATGGTGCAAGAAGGACGCAAGTCACATTTTAGCAAAGCATAGAGAACTTCAAGATGCTGCATAAGGCACTTGGAAATTGCAGGCTGTTAGGTTTTTGGCGTCCAGTTGCCTTCTTTGCAGCTATTTAAAGAGCATACAGGATGGCTGTTTGGGAGAGCTGGCCATGCTTTGGGGAAGGTCTCTCCAGTTGTGGTGACTCAGAAGCAGACCAACATCAGGTACACAAGGTGCACAGCTGGGCCTTAGAATTGAAGAAAAAATTGGAGATGAGCTTCTTGCATTTGGGGAGGCTGGTAATGCAATTGGAGAGATGGTTGGTGACCTGCATCCCGGCCAAATCGATGGGAATGGTCTATTTGTGTTGGTTGAGCTCTTCACCTTCATTTCAGAGTATTCAAGTGCCAGAGAAATTGTCCATGGGCTAGATTAAATAGCAATAGCAATGATTAAAATTACACAGATTCTGGAGACGTTGGGCTGGAGTTCAACGTAAGCTAGCCGAAGGGTGTCACCACAAAGTGTTGGATATGAGCAAGGAGGTGTTGGGTGAGGTCCACCGAGATGTTGCCACGTTGCTGAACAATTTGGCATTGGTGCTTCACAGCCAAGGGAATATGAAGAGGCAGAGAGGCTTCACATGCAAGCACTGAAAATGCTGAAGATTTTTTTTGGGTAAAGTCCATCCGCATGTTGCCACATTATTGAGCAATTTGGCACTGGTGGTTGAGAGCCAGGGGAATTACGAAGGGGCAGAGAGCCTTCACAGGAAAGCATTGGAAATGAGGAGGGGAGTGTGGGATGAGGTCCACCGGATGTTGCCATGTCTTTCAAGAATGTGGCATTGGTGCTTTGCAGACAGGGGAAGTACTTAGAGGCAGGGTGGCTTTACATGGAAGCACCGCAAATAAGGAATAAAATTTTGGGTCAGATGCACCCAGATGCTGCCACTTCTTTCAACATTTTTTTGGTTTCTTGACATTTATGGAAATACGAAGAGGCAGAGAGGGCTTCACAGGGGTAGCGCTGAGAATGGGGAGGAGAATTCTGGATGAAATCTACGTGGGTGTTGGCGCGGTTTGACCCGGGTGCTCGACAGTCGACAGAAATACGAGGAGAGGCTGTACAGGGAAACGCTGGAATTGAAGAGGAAGGTGGTAGGTGAACTCCACCCAGATATGGCTGCATCTTTGAATAATTTAGCTTTGGTTCTTGCCAGACATTGCAAAGGCGAAGAAGCAGAGTGTCCTCACAGGGAATGCCTAGAAACGAAGAGATATAGTTTGAAATGTTGATAAAACTTCTGAACTTTGAGTCTGCGCGATGAATCGCTTGAATTGAAGAGGAATTTTTCAGTGATGTCCACTCGGATATTTCAGCTTCTTTGAACAGTTTGTTCGGTCAACTCCATGATTGTGCCAACGTTTTTGGTGTGGCCCCATCCCCATTCCCATTTAGTCCTGTCCCCCAAAATTTACACCACAAAGATGTGGTCGAAATGCCAAGAAAAACTTGCTGAAGGACACCCATTTGGAAATTGGGTTGTCAAGTTTTTTTGTCCGGTGTTTCTTTTCGTAATATGGAGTGAAAGTCGCGCTCTGCAATGCCCTCCCAATCAGCGGTATACTGGTTGCTCATGCGTATAGGGATGCCATGAGCATGTCATGCCCGTTTGGCGCTGAGGCATAGGCTCCGCACGGTGGTCGCACAAATGGCACAGCTAGCCACAGTGTGCCCTACCGCTGGACACTCTACTAACCCCTTCAAGCAACCACTGTTTTGCAACAAGAGTTGCCACGGTGGCCGCAAATAGTGGCCCACAATTGGCAAATGCACCTTGTCATGCCCAACCTCGCGAAAGTACAACTTCAATGCGGAACTCGGTAATGGCGGACCACTACTACCCCCCCAACCCCCCCTACCCCCACCCCCACCCTCCTAACCGCCACCCCCACCCAAGGAATGCGGGCACACTATGACATCCTCAACAACATGTTTTGGCTGAAGAGTGGCAGCGATGCTTGGTGCTGACTAGGAGTGCCACAGATTCCGGAGATCTTTGCTTTCCACCACTTACCTGCAAGTGAGCTATAGAGTGCTCAGAAACTCTGGCGATCGATCCCCAGCAACACACAGCCATGGGAAAAGGCTCTGCTGGCCTTTTCCACTATCTCCTGGGTGAGATTTGACTCAATCTGATGGCAAGCCCAGGACAGCTGCCCAAGACGCCTTTTCAAATTTATCCATCGCTTGGCGATGGTTGCAAAAAACGTGAGCAATCGTGCCACAAACCGCAAGTGGCTGTGGGAAAGAGCAATCTGCTCATTATCAGGCCACCTCGGGAGCCAGTGTTGCTGTTCGTGGGGTGACCTCCGTTCCCTGCTCACCCACTCGTGTGAGCACCCATATTTCTGACACCTCTGGATTTCATGTCCCAACATCTGGACTGAACATTGCAGCCCACTGATCTCAGGTGACCATGAGGCACAACTTGCATCTTGGTCTGGCCCTTTCCCACGCGCGTTCGGTGCAAGAGTGTTGCAGCGTCTTCATGTGGCAAGCAATTCTGAATGACAGGGATCACCAGTACTTGATGATGCAGCATGTTGACCGATGCCCTGCTTTTCTATGGGCCCTCCCTGGCGCCTGGGAAGCCAAGGGCAAAACGATTGTTGTGTAACATCGGAATTCCAATGATAAGGCAAGTGCCGTTTAATCAAGCGCCTAATCATGCAAATAACCATGTCCCAACCAAATTGCGAAATGATCGGGCATGCCTCGTGTGCAGCAAAAATGAGTTCCAATGGATTTATCGCCTTCAGAAGAAACCATGGACAATAAGAAGCGCCATAGAAGATGATGAGGATGTTGGAATTGGAGCCGATATACTATGGCCTCTCTATTATGGTAAGGTATCTTTGATGGACACAAGTATTGAGGACATGTCAACATGGCTGCTGCCACAGCGGCTACCATAGGCGTGGTCATAGCCAATTGTCTGCAGGTTGGCAATGCTGCTGCAGGTTCTCCCGTATCCGTTCCGAAAGCACGCCTAGACAAGGCTTGTCTATGAAACATCATAAAACAATGTGTGTGTACAAGACACCTCATAGAAAGGTGGGCACACTCTGATTATTGCTGTCAGATCATCAAAGTGGTCCCAAGGTTGGCATGTGATTTGAGGGAAGCCTGAATGTGGCATTACAGTTAATGCACGTTTCAACTCAGCTTCCGTGCAGCTACATATTATACCGAAAATTGCTGGCGCAGCAAAATATTCATGCATTTCACGAAAAAAAATTCTCTCGGGAAAATATTTCGCGCACTTGACGGTGCACGAATATGTTTCCTCTGCGAACTGTCGTCGGCAGACAGTAGCTTGTTGCTGAGTAATCAGTGCAAATATCAGACCTGTGCGTGGCTTCTCGTGTGCAATACACAGGCAGACTCAATATTGAGTCGAATAGCCATAACGGCTATTAGCCACATTTGGAGTGGGGGCCGTTGGACCCTTTGTCAAGGTTCCTTAGCCATCCCGGTTCGAGATCTTGCTGATGCAATCGAATGCGCGCAGAGATGGACCACAGCGCAGCACCAGTCAAACCAATTTGGTTCGACCTCTATGGCAACCTTGGTGCACGCAGTGCTCGAACGCACTCGCCGTGCATGGTCGGACAAGACTCAACTTGTCTTGCAACCAAACCAAGAGAAGCCACGAACAGTCTCGGGCTCTCTTTAATTACCAGAATGCGCCTCTACTTGTGCCCACCAGCACTCACGCTCAGAGCGCCGGATTGAACTCACACTTCACACATGCACAACACGTTACCCCACAGCACCGACCCATGTCTTCGACCCACGGCACCGACCCACAGCTCCAACCCACAGTACCAACTCACGATCGCCAAAATTAGTAAGATTGAAGCTAATTGTTGGCCGGCCGTCCTCCCGCCATCTCAATCAGGTCAATGTGTGCACCAGTCAACCAGCACATGAACAGGTGCCTGCACAACATGGCAGCTGCGCCTGTCATGTTGTGTCAGACTTTCATCTCTTTAAACTGGCTTTTTAATATGTATTCACTTCTCTCATTGAGTTTCACTGCACATCAGTGTTCAGCCACCGACCTCCAGTTCTGAAAACTGGAAAGTTGCATGTGAAACATTGAGAAAAGGTGACAGACATTCAAAGATACTGTTGATGGCATTCCTCGAAACGGGATTCTCATATGCCACCATTTAATCATCGGGCTGCAAATCAGTAATTGACGGAGGCAGATCAATGGTCAATTACTGGTAATTCGAACACCCTTCCTAAATGGAGAGGCCACCACCTGACCCAGTAAGGCCCCACCAAGGGCACACGTTAGAAAACAAGTCCTTGATTCTCCTGGTCTCCTGCCCAGATTGCACATTCCTATGAAATACATTTTGAAGTTAATATATATACCTCGAGGTATCCTCTAGGTAGTTTCCTCCTGGTCGTTTCTCCACGTGGCCTCTTCTCCCCTCTTGGTGGTCTCCTTACTGTACCTTCTCACACTGGGCACCACCTTCCTCTCGTAGTCGGGGCAGTCGTTTCCTCAGTCCCCTCGGTTCGCAAGAGCGGGATGCCCCCCCCCGCCATGCCCGGCTGGTCGGTGGTCGTCCACGGCGGTGCGGGCAAGATCTCCCGCTCCCGCGACACGGCCACCGACATGGACGGCATGCGCGCCGCCCTCGACTGCGCCGTGGACGTCCTGGAGGGCCGGGCCCCGCGCCGGCCGCTGCGACCGGACGGGATGCGATCCCAGGCGCTGGCCGCCGCGATCCAGGCGGTGATGGAGCTCGAGGACCGGCCCACGTTCAACGCGGGGAAGGGAAGCGTTCTTTCGGACGGGGGGTGGGTGGAGATGGAGGCGGCCGTGGTTGAAGGGTGGAATCGGGACAGCGGGGCGGCATGTGGGTTGAGAAGCGTGCGCCATGCGGTTGAATTGGCCGAGATCGTGCGTGTGACCACGCCGCACACGCTGATCGGATTTGATGACGCCGAGGAGCTGGCAAAGGGGAAGGGGTTGGAGGTGAGGGCGCCGGAGTGGTTTGTCGTCGAGGCGAGAGTGGAGCAGCAGCGGCGGGCGGCGGAGAGGGGGCTGGTGGTGGTGGATCGGGACGAGGCGGCGGGCAGGGAGGGTATGGGGACGGTGGGGGCGGTGGTGAGGGACGGGGAGGGGAGGGTGGCCGCGGCGGTGTCCACGGGCGGGCGGAGCAACAAGATGGCGGGGAGGGTGGGGGACTCTGCGTGCGTGGGGGCGGGCGTCTACGCCGGCCCGCTGGCGGCGGTGTGCGGGACGGGCGTGGGGGAGGCGTTCGTGCGCCACAGCGCGTGCGCGCAGGTGGGGATGTTTGGTGATCTGTGGGTCGGCGCTGTGGCGTTTGCTGTGCCGGCATTTTCAGTTGAACACGCGGGTTTTCTCGTTGTATTGTTGTCATTCCAGAGTGTTGCCCGAGGAATTGGGTTTGGGGGTTGGGGTGGGCTAACTGCTTGAAGACAGTGCCTCTGGGGAAAACAACATTGCATAAGCGCATAGTGGCAAAAATAGGGTGCTTATGCGGGTTTTGGTGATTGGAGGGAATGGTGCAATTGAGAGTCAGAGAGGGTGGGTGGGTTGGGCGGGACAATGACTGCAGTAAGGATTTGGGCATAACATGAGGATGATTTGGGGATGGAATGCAATGAATACTTGGGGTTTGTCTCAATGTGTGTGGGTGATCTGGGTCAGTGGGTGAAGGGCTGAAGTGAAAGTATCCAGCAATCTCTCCATTCCACGTGTAGTAACATGATCAAGTTGTGCATCAGTGATTAATGAAAGTATCAACAAATTTGTTTTGTACAAATCATTTGTACTTCTCTGCAATGAGAAGGCCAATGTGTGTGTGGGTGTGTGCATTAGTCAAATTAGTAGCCAGATAGAACTTGTTTTATTGTGCAAAGGTGTCTGCTGAATACAAACAACTTTCCTTGAATTGCACCTGCCTGGACAGAAGAAAATAATGCCCCTGTGTTTGTCACGGTTGTGCGCATGCATGGTCAGTCTGTGATGGGTGCTCAGTGCAAGGCATTTCAATCACCGTGTACCACGCTTGCCCAAGCAAGTCGCAGTGTACAGGGCACACCAAGGCACAAAGCAAGAATGCCTGTGAGTATTTGAATCAAAAAACCAAGACAATCGCTGTAAATGTTCCAGAAGAAGAATGGGGAGAGTGTGAAAGTAGAATGCTGACCTGTTTTTGGAGAGCTAGGGCAGTTTGATCCTTGGTGGCTGCCCCTGCAGGTTGGGTTTGCTATGCAGTATGGCAAATTGTCGCTTCAAGAAGCTGTCAGGAAGGTTGTTTATGAAGAGATGGATGAAGGAGATGGAGGAATAATCGCAGTGGGCGCAGACGGCTCTATGTCCGTCGAATTCAACAGTTTGGGAATGTTTTGGGGGAAGCAGCATTCAGAGGGTGGCAGAGAATTTGGAATCTGGAAGTGAGGAAGTTGAGCGTTGGAGGTGCAAGACAGCAGCCACTTTCTGAAGATGCGCTGGTGGATGGAGGTCCAATTCCATTGATTACATACTTGTCACTTCATGACAAGGCGAGCTCTTCCTCCAAGTCAGCGATGTTGGTCAGCAAATGCGAGCACAATTTGATGTTCCCAACACAATGTGTCATCAACGTCATCGTTTTCAATGTCGTTCTTCAACATTGTCATGACACGCATCCACTGCAACTGTGTTGGTGAACACAAACTCGTCATGTTTCTGTCCACTGGGGTGTTTGGAGTGGATGTGCATGTTATGACAGCTTTGTAGGAATGCTTCTTGGGATTTGTTGCTTGATCAGTAGCCTTTTATTCCCCCAGAATATGTGCAGGTGGGCAGCAGGTCAGGAGACGCCCCAAAAAAGCATGATTAGTGGTAGATGTGGTGCACATAGAAGTAGGACTTTGTTAGGGACACAGACAATTGAGATGCAGCAGAGCTGCTTGCATATTTTTAAGCGGACACCTTGGAGAGCTCAATGTACTCCCTGCAGGCAGGATGAAGACCGTATCCTAAATAGGTTTTGGTCACTTTGCCTTTTTGTGTACATCGTGTCGAAGCGATTCCAATGCCATACAAATGGCACCTAAGTCAAGATCTAAATGCAAATGTGCCTAGCGCAGGTCTAACGCGCTTCCTCGATGATCACTGCTTTTCTGTAGTGTACCAGAGTGTCAATCATTCGTTTTGCACTAGCCAAGCAGGACAAACTTACCACGCCGTAAACATGCATCCAACGTCTGACTGGGCGACGGTACGGGGTCCTGGACCTATCTGGCTGTGGAAGGACGACAAACGTTTTGGGGCCGTCCATGTTTGGGAAACGCTGGGGCCGCGCTTGCGAACAGCAGTCTACAGCTCCCAACAGGCGGAAAGCCACAGCTATGTCATCTGTTGAGGTATGCCTTCAATGAATTTAAGTACTTAGTCTAGCGAACTGTAGGTGACGAAAATGATGTTGTCCGTCAGTGGCATGCATGAGCCAGCCCAGCGTACTACTATGCTTGGAGTATGTGGCATCCAGTTGCCCGCCCAATCTGTGTGCCAAGTCGTTCAGCAATTATTGTGGCCTACGCACCAATACTCAAACTGCTCACAGGCGCTGTTTCAGTAAAAGGTTTGGGAGCATTGTGATATCAGCACATGCAGCCTTCCGCGCCAATCCAAGTCATGACGTCCACTTTTACTGCCGACCTTCAACGGCCATTTCACAGGTGCATTTCGCGTGGCAATCCGCAGGCTTATATTTCTGGCAGCGTAAACACTGTGCGCATTCGCGCTTTGCGCACAAAAGTGGTATGTACGCTTTTATGCATAAATACGCGTCAGCATACGCAAGTACAGGCCCTGTGCACATAAAGACAGTAGACACAGACTTGGGGATTCCGGACCGGACAGAAAACGATTTTTTGTTCGACGACGTTGTTGCCCTTGCCGAGAGCCAGGTGGATTCCGTGTTGTAGGTGCTCAAGGGGGCGGAGAACTGATCATTACGCGCGACTTCGTGATGTTACCTGGTTGTTGTCACACGCCATAAAGATATGTAAATATAGCCGTTTCTGTGTTTAGGCTTTTTCGCAAAAAACGCACAAAAAATAAATGTAAAAAGGTGACGTAAACGTAAGTAATAAACTTGTTACAACGAAGCAATGATAAAGCCACCAGTGGATTGAGTGCCTAATATTTGCATATCTGCATAAGCGGCACGTTGTTCGGTCAAACCCGCTTGGAAGACGTGCATCAGTGAGTGCTATGCCATTCAATGTCGCAGGGCGACTTGTACTCATTTTGCTTCGAACGGAATTGTGCGAATGTGCCCATGAACAGACCACAGTCCCGACATCGACAAAACCGCATATTACAGCTGAGGACCCACTCCGACGCCATTATCATCACCGTGGATGCACAGTAAATACAGCTTTCATACATCTTTCGGGTGACTTCCCAGTTTCATTGACACCAAGCAGACCCCAATAACATTCACCGCTCTCAACACTACCAACTCACAAAACACACAACCCCGTCTTTGCCAAAGCCGCACGCTTATTCCCCCACACCGAACGACATCATTCCATCGGCGTCCCCAATACCCATACCCCGAACACCGCACACACGCACAGGACGCCCCGCACAACCAACGGCCCAGCCAACGGCGGTGAGTAATGAGCGCCAATCCTCATGTGCAGCCCCGAAACCCGCGCCATCTCACCCTGGGCAGCCCTGGGTCACATCGATCCGCAGATGGAACTCCGGTGCGTACTATATGTCCGATGCGTATTATATGCGTATTATATCCCCGATGTGTATTATTACTATTATGTATCCCAGCCAACATCCCCAGATCTCAAACCCACAACATCGGAGCCTCAACTTCAAACCAGGCCCCGCACAGTCCTCCTTGCCACGCCGGAGGAGGTCCGCACGGCATCCGGGAAGGCAAGGCGTCATGCGCAGCTCACAAGCCCGCCACGAGACCCCATCTCCTCAAAACCCTATTTTGAGAAAAACTGGTATCAGTCTCAGTGCCCACTGCACTCTCTTGCACCGTTCTATACAACGGGAGTGTATCAAGCGGATGTCAGTGCCCTCAGCTCCGTGGCCACGTGGCGGTACTTGCTGTGCGCGTACTTCCTGTGCACCGCCCTGGTGACCTCCCGCCCCGCCTGCTTCAGCACCTGACCCAGCTCCTCCACGCAGGGCCTCAGGTCGTCCAGAGAGTAGGTGGAGTGCTTCCGCAGCGCGAGCGGGTAGGCGTCGGCCTGGCGGACCATGCGCCTGGCGATGAAGACCACGGAGGCGGCGATCTGCGAGCCCTTGTATTTGAGGGAGCCGTAGTGCAGCAGGGACAGCTCGGTCAGGTAGGCGGCCACCAGGTTGGCGTTCTTGTCCTCCTGGCTTCCGGCCGCCTTCATGAACCTGGAGGAAGCGCAACTGTATGAGTTTTCTTTTTGTCATCTGTCTTCAATTGAAGTAATGCATGTTGTAGTGATGAACGTTGTTAGAATGTAGTTATGTCTGATATCGGGTTTGACGCGTGCAATGGCCGGTTTTCCTTTGTGTATTCCTGCGGTTGATGCACTCAATGACCAATCAGATGGTAATGAATTAATGATTCAGCTGCACGCCTGAAATCATTTCCACTCAGTGACTCATGGTCAATAACGAAGCATGTGCAGCTGCTCGGGGGTTGTGCGGAATCCGTGCACCATATTGACTTTTAAATTCCGTCCTGATGCCCTCCGTGCCAGGCATGGATTCACAGGACCTTTTTCGTATTTACAACCTACAGGCTGAAAACACCAGCGATGAAGATGTTAAGCTACTGGCAAAGAGCTGTGAGCTGATTTAGCAACCCCATCGGTTTTCCAACCTGCACCTAGCATGGCCCGCACCCGTGCACATCGGGTTTGGGATCATGAACTCTGAGCCATGAAGTGGAAAACACATGCTTTTTTCGATGTCCGCCCCTGGGTTCTGGGGACGTTGGGGCGGTACCTGGGTAGGAAGTGGTAAATGGTGGGAACCGTCAGCTTCCATCCCAGTTCGATGAGCATGCTCCTCTCCATGTCGAGGATTTCCGGCCGCGTGTAGGCGTGGTCGCATATGTCGATGAAATCCTGGACCTCTGGAGGCCAAATCTCTTCGTACTTGGCGGCGATGAGCAGGGCCGCTATGCCAACCTGAGCCACCGCGCGCGAAGGCTTTTAGCGGGAACTGTTGTCAAGGATGAAAATGGCATTTGTTCCGCAATGGAAGCTATTCAGTATGCGAATTTAGTACAATTCTATAATCGCAAAATCTAATATTCAAAATTGTAGTCATATGAGAGAAAGCGCTCACACACATGAAATTTTGGAAGTGCATGCCTTTTTGAAAGTGCAACCATTCGCAGCCCCACCACTGCAGTTTCAATGGCCTGGGTAGATCCATGCAATTGGCGAGAGCTCAAGAAACTGCGCTGCGACCAGTGGTTTATGGTTGTGGCTGTGAGTTTCTTTCGTTTGAGCTCTAAAAATCTCACGTGCGGCATGTAAATATGAAGCATTTGTCAGTGTGATGGTTTTGATTTCTCTATCAGTACAACTGTCGGTACGTTTCTTGTTCCTGCGCGATTGAACGCCTCACACAACGATACCCTTTTCTGACATGCGTGCAAGCCCAACTGCCGCGCGTTCCCTTGGATACGCACTATTTTGAATAAGCTGAATGGAGGCTTCCCGCACACCATTTCATTTGCACACAATCCATCAACGTCCTGCAGAGAAATGCTGCCTGTGGCTGCATTGGATGCGCCAGTACATTTCGTGACGCCTTGCAATCATGCTCTCCGTGGTTGATCTCAGGCAGGCAAAAGTGGCGCCGCCAAGGCAGCCCGTGCCGTTTCCAACATCCACTGCGCAAACACCATCGTTTCTCTCGAGCCTTCACGTTCTACAAACTGTCGGGCGGCGGGCGCAGATCAAGCCCCATTTACTCGTCATCAATATTCTTCACTTGAAACCTACACAGGGCGTGCCGCTTGAAACATTTTGGGAAGCATTGCGATTTGTTTACAGTGTCTCACCAGCTGGAGCCTCTTTCTGCCAACTCGCACTGTGGACAGGTACCTATCTATCAGGTTCACCGTCAAGAAGAGGGTCTCGGGCATCAGCTGCGTGCAGAAAAACACGTGTCATCGTGAGACAAGCTGGCCATTGACGGCAGTAAACACGCATCTTGCCAAAATTTCAGTTGTTTTGAAGGGAATGCTGAGACGGAACTCATCGTCAGCCTCCTGGGAATTGCGCATTTCGCACAATTTTTATCCGTGATTGGCTAGATGTTGCATTATGTGCAAATGCACATGCACATGCATTCACCGACACACAGTCTTCAGCAAATTTCAATGATTCACACATGGAACAAAATTGCAGAAAACTACAAAGTTATGACAGTGCTTCCTCATCACCGCTCTGCGCTTCTGGCCAGCACATCAAGGCACTCCAGGAGGCCGTTTTCCATCCAGCAGTCAGACAATTTCAACCAAACTCAGACCAGGAAGGCCTCTGAGCATTCTGGACTTGGTTGGCACCAGCAGGCCCCCAAGACTGTGCCATTACCACAGCGGGACAAGCTTAAGCCACCTTTGGTCTTTCATGAGCTTCACTTGAAATCAAACAACAAAAATAGTGCTCCTGGAAAAAGTAGTATTTACAGTACTTATTGCACCGTTTTTCCCTGCAAATATCTTAAAAAAATGCCTTGGAACACTACAAGGCCAGGACGTGTTGGAGGAACTACCAGCACTTCGTTGCTGGCCCAACGCAGAGTCGATGATTGATCAAGAAACAGGCGGATCACTTCGTGTGTCTATTGATTGAAAGAAATAGTCAAATCGGCGCCCGTTCACCTTGAACTTGGCGTGGACCTCCACGATCCAGTCCACCAGCACCGCCCGCATCTTGTGGTTGATCTCCGCCTGCATGGCCATGTAGTTCGGGTCCGCCATTACTGCCGCCTCCACCGCCAGGTAGTGCTCGTAGATGGCAGCGGCGTAGTCCGCGCACCGCAGCGGGTCGCCCCTGTCCCTCCGGTCGATGTCCGGCGCCGGCGACGCGGCCCGCGGCGACGCCTCGCTGTCGCCGATCGGTCGCTTCTGCCCGCTCAGCGACGACCGTCTGCGGCCCCGCTCCCCCACCTGCCGCATCCCACGCCCTGTGCTTTGCAGGGCCGATCCACCCAACGCCCTCGAGTTCGCGTGAACGCGGTCGATGATGATCCTGGTCTGGGGCATTTGTGGTGCATTCGCTGAGATCTTGCTCTGGGGCATCGGCCTTGTGGGGATCCCGGCTTGGGGCGCCGCCGGCTTGGCCACCCGTGTCCTCCGGATCGACGGCCGGCGCTGGGCCGGCAGCTCCGCGGGCGGCTCGCCCATCCCTGGATTCAACCTAGCCGATCGCCTGCGCTTCGGCTGCTCCTGCGTAGCCTGCTGGCCACATTGTTGCGCCTGCGGCGGCTGGTAGCCCCAGACCGGGCGCTGGCTCTGCTGCCTTGCCCACGTCCCTGACGTCCCACACTGGCTCTCCAACTTCCCCTGGCCTTGGGCTCGATTTTGGCCCTGATTTCTAGCCGCCCTGCCGCAGATCGCCCTCTGATTCTGCTCGCATCCCCGCAGTTGGTTTTGGATTTGATAGTGCATCGCCCTGCCCGCGAGCGCCCGCTCCAGCTGCGCCTTCTGAGCCGCGATGGCGGCGAGGGGCGCCTGCGGCGCGGCGCGAGCAGCCAAGGGTCGCCTGGCCGGTATCGCGTGTCGGCCCAGCGCCCCGCAGGTGGGCGCGGTCGGCGCGAGGCCCGAGGGCCCCGGGGCCCTGTTCTCCTTGGCGTCATCGACACTTTCCTGGCACTGCCGCGACACGCTTAAATTAAGCTGCTGTCTCAATCGTTAGGCTAAATCCACGTGAGTGGAGACGGATTTAAGCGCGGCATATTCGTGGTGGTCAGTAAAATGCTGACAGTATTGTGATACAGTGTTGTGATAATACTACAAGATTTCAGCAATTAACGCTATTCGAACGAGGGCATGGACCGTGTAAAACCGGACAAAGCATTGCGCAGGGCGCATGGCGACAACACACCAAAAAGGCTGCCCTGCTGCACTCACATCGACAAACGACGTCAAACGCCAAACAAAATTGTTGAAGGTTAAATAGAAGAGTCCAGGCTAGCAGACCTCGCCCAAGAATGAAATTGCGTTTGAATGCAAGTTTTGGCCGAGAAGGTGCGCTCCAGGACCGAATGTCCAATCTTCAGAGAATTTTGGACAAGGACGTCCCACGTTTGGTAAAGTGGCCATCGGACGACTTCCGCCAAGCCCGACGCGCGACGCCGCGCGGCGGGGCGGCGCGAACGGCGGCAGGAGCGCCAAGAGGCCTCTGCGCTGGGCCGACATGCCCGTCACTCACGGCTCACCTTTGGGACGCTTCGCCCGGTCGGAGCGGCCGGAGCGGCGCACCTTTTGTTGGGCTGGGGCTTGGCGGAGACGGGGGCGCCGCCTACCCCTGAGGCTTCGTTCAGCGCGTCCTTGTGCGCCCTGCGCATCCCCGATCGCGTCAGGCCCACCCTTCCCGACGAAAAAGGACTGCGCCGCTGCGATCCAGGGCGAGATCCCAAGATGTCCTCCGCGAACAGAACGGCCGAGCGTCGAGCGGATATAATCAGCAGACGAGAGACAGAACAATGTTTCGGATGTATGCCCGCGCGCCACGGCCAGCAAGTTTGCAGGGCCTTGCATCTTAATATGCTTTGCTTTTCGAACTGAAGCAAAGGTATGCGGTGGGCAGAACGGTCGGGCGGCGATCACACCGTCTTGTGTAGCTCCGCAGGTTTGGCTTCGGCGGCTCCGCGGGCGTGGGCCGCCCGTAGCGTGACACTTTGCCCCAGACCGCCCGCTCACGGACCTCTCGCCCCCTCTGCGCCTGCTGCCCGCCGCGATTGCTCTGCCGCAGCGCCATTCGATCGGTCCCCGGGGGGCCGGCGACTGCGATCCTGGCCGGTCGACTTCCGTCCGGATGGCCAACCCTCTCGGGGCCGATCGGGAGCCTTCGGCCTGGACTTGCGGCCGGTGATTTGGAGTGCGGCGTGAGGAGAAGGTGGGGGTGGCGGGGAGTGGTGTTGAGCTGCGCTGCTTCGGGCCGGAATATGCAGCCAAGCTGGCGCGGGGCAGAGCGTTCCGGTGCCGGATGCGCCCCGGACACATGCCAGAAACGACGCTACTGGCCCCGAATTCAAGACAAGCAGTTGCCCCAAATTCGGTGCAAGAAATGTTAATAACTAGTCAAGGAGATGGCCGTCAGCTCATTGGTTTTGCGCGGCAGAAGCAGTGTCCATGTTTTGTTTATTGATGACCCAAAGTACTGTATCAAGGCATCCAGAGCCCATCACGTTCCACTTAGCATCAGAGACTGTTGGCTCTGTTGAATGAAGGGCTTCTTTGCGAGAAGGTGAGCAGGGACAGTAGCAAAATGCGATTCGGCATTGCAGCGATGCAAAAAGTTCGTGCATATACCGTCTTGGGAGCAAGGCCAGATTGACATGACGGACACAAGTGGCATGGCTAAAAAATTCGATATTTAATGAATTGGTTGAATTGGTTGCTGCTCAAATTCTATAAAATTAGCCCGTAGTTCAGTCATAGGACAAATGTCGTTAACTAGACTGGCTGTTATGCAGATCCGCCTTACGAATTCCATCTGTAGAAACCGTTGCCATGGGAGAACTGGTTTGATTCGCCCCAAATTGATGCAGACTTACCCTGGAGACACCGTGGACTAATGTCAAATCGAGTTCTGTGTTTGGACGACTGTTCTGGTGTTTCGAGGCGCGAAGAAACGCAGCTGCCTAAATTCACCGTGTTGGAGATGCCCTTCATGAATCTGATCCACAGCGGCATTGGGGACATGCTGACCGAAAAGGCACATTGCCATGCCCGAGTTCTGGATTTCTCTCCTTGTGCATTAGCATCAGTGGGGCTTGCTTGGGACCTCCGGTGCGAGTGTGGCTGATTGCCCGCAAGGGCGGGAGAAGCCAGCCGCTACACGTAAGTACCAGGGACGCTGAGCGTTAAGAGTACAGTAGGGGTCCCCATATAGCACCCCCCGTGACATGGCCAAAAAGGCGGCGTTGTTGGGGGGTGCTATATAGGACCCCTGCTGTACCCCTAAGAGCATCTTTATCGGTGGGTGCTATTGTTCCGGCGGAGCTATTCAGGAACGGTTCTCATTGGCTGCCGTGCCACCTTACTAAGGGGAGCAATAGCACCGGGCGTGCATCCGTAACGGTGGATGCCTTGGGGAGCAATAGCACCCCGTGGGCATCCGTAACGGGGGGTGCTATTTGCATGGTTCGGCTGTCCCAAGGCCCCTCCGCTGTACTAAGCCCCCTCCGCGTTGTTCCAAGCAGCCGCCGCCAAGTGCTGAGCGAATAGCACCGGTGCTATTCTAGGGAGCTATTCGGTCTCGAGCGGAGCTATTCTGGCCCCGAATAGCTCCGCTGGGCGCCGAATAGCTCCGGGGGAGCTATTGGGGAGTTATTGCTCCCCAACCGTTAATGATGGTTTTTTGACGTGCGGAGCTATTCGGATAGCCGAATAGCTCCGCCGGAACAATAGCGCCGACCGATAAAGATGCTCTAAGAGTCATGCACGATGCGCTTGTGGCGATTGTATGCTCCTTTCAACCCAATCAAACCGAATGCCCCCCAAATGCCGAGACACCTCCCCTGCTGCGGGTCAGTCGCCAACCCCGAAACAGAATCGCCGCTATTGCAGGGCACGCGTCAGCCGGACACGTCCGCAGCCGCGCCTTCCCCCGCAGCACAGCCCCTCCCCCCCTCCCTGGGAGCAAAAGCCCCCGGCGCTCCTCCCGGGCACCGCGACCAGCCATGCGCCCACAGGCCTCCGCCGCGGCCATCCTCCTGGCCCTGTCAGCGTGCTGGGCCGCCCCGCCCGGCCCGACCGCGTCCTCGACCTGGTACGCTTTCGAACCGGCTGGAGACGGCGTCAGGCGGGCGGGATCTTCGGTGGCCCGCGACAAGGCCTCGCCGCACCTCTGGTACGGTGTGCGCCCCGGCGAGCACTGCGTTCGCGTGATCGATTCAAGGGAAGAGACCTCCCACGTCTTCGCCGGCAACTGCGAGGTGGCCGGCTACCAGGACGCCCACTTCCGCGGGGACGCGCTGTTCAATCGCCCCACGGCCCTCTGCCAGGATGCGGCCGGGGACGTCTTTGTGCTGGATGCCGGCAACCGTGCTCTGCGCCTGCTGGGGAGGGATGACTCGGTTGTGACCGCCGGTGTGCTGGACGGGCTTTGGTCGGACGACCTGCTGCGCCAAGCCGTCAACATCGCATGCCTGGACGACGGCAGCGTGGACCTGGCCGACAAGGACGGGGCGCGGCTCATGACCGCGCGGTGCGTCAGAGGATGTGGCTCATCAGGCGGGCTGGCCGGTGCCTGGTCCGCGATGGCATCATGGAGCTTGGGCGGGCGCCAGCCGGGTGGGGATGAGGAGGCGTGGGCGGGGATCATGACTGTGGCTCGGTACGCGGTGACGGGGGGGGTGCTGATCGCGACGACCGCGTTGACGGTGGCGATGCTTCGGAAGGACGCGAGGAGCCGGACGGCACAGCAGGGGGGGGCCCAGGAGGAGGGGGATGGGGAGAAGGAGGGGGTGATGGATTTGAACCAAGTATTTGGGACAGCCCAAGGTCGCGGCGAAGGGCGGGAGTTGGCGAGCGGGCCGGACGCATTGACTCCGATCGATGGGGCTGAAGAGGATCGGCATGATGAGGAGGAGGAGGAGGAAGGAGGGAAGGGGGAAGAAGAGGTTGGGGAAGGGGAAGGGGAAGGGTTGCCCGGTGGGAGCATGGCGGAGGGGGCCGCGGCTGTGGCTCCTGAGGAGCCCGGTGGGGACGGGAGCGACGCCGGGCTGCCCGTGTCCACGGGCGGCCCGGAGGGCAGCGCTTCGGATTCCAGCGACGAGTTCGTGGTCGTCAGCGAAAGGGGCTGAAGGACTGGGGGCAAGGCGGGGGATCGGGAGGAAGGGCCCTGGAACGGGTGTTAGATCACTGCCGGCCGTGTGATTCGATGCGCTCAGTCGTTTTTGGAGCGAGGAGGCTGTGTTGAGCGGCGCGGCGGGCGCATTGGTGACCATAGCAGGGGGGGGTTGGGTGGGCTTGGGGGGAGGGGCTGGAATTGAAGGCGAAGTTTCAAGAGGGGCACATGGGGGGCTTCAAGGATCTCGCTTCGTTGCAGTTTTGGGACGGCGGGGGGGGGGACAACAACAAATGATGCAGATGGTGACACTGTCATTGGAACGTGTGGCTGGGATGCTGCTTGTTGGATGGTGGACAATGGAGCCACTTTGATGCTCATGTGTACTCTCGATTCCCTGTAACAATAGCAGTGACATTGGGTGTTGTGGAACTTCCACTGGGATTGCATTGGCATGACATGTCAGGGCACTACACTTGCGCACTAGGGGTGGGCAAGTGCTTCTTGGACTAAGCAGTTGCCATTGCCCTGTCACAGGCCTTGCACCTCGAAGGCGCTGACTGACCCTTGAGCATCTGTGGTTCTCTGTGTCCAGAATGTTCACGATGAATCAGCTTGTGGGAGCAGTGTGTACATCCTCCATCAGCCAATGAGTGTCGCAATGCTCAACAGCACGTTGCAAGTAACTTGCGAAGTTGAAATGTTAATCTGTGGGCTTGCTGCCCAGGAAAGTCTTTCCTGTGCTCTTGCGGCCTCCAAGAATCTCCTTCCCATCTGAGGCATACTTGAGCTGCGTTGTGTCTCAATAGACAATGCAAACATGCAAATATCAAGTTTCATTGGGCAGATGATACGGGCTGTATGTCTATCATTGCATTGATTGCATGATTGCAGATGGTACAGTCATGTGCATTGCTCATATGTGGATCGATCCCAAGTTCTTGGTTTTCTTGACACCCAGCATTTTCAGTCACTGGCCTTCGTATGTCCATTGTGTGCTTATTGTATGCTTATTGTATGTCTATTGTATGTCTATTGTATGTCTATTGTATGTCTATTGTATAACTATTGTATGTCTGTTGTATGCCCTATCGTGTGTCTATTGTAGTCTGCAACCTGGACTGAACCCAAGTGCGCACCTGTGCCTCTGCCCATTGTGGAAGACCGGTAATTTTGATCAGCTGAAGCGTATTCGATGTTTCCCAAATGAATCCACGAATTGTAGCTTCCCATTGTGGCTTCAACATTCATTGCTCTTTCTGGTGGCTTTGCCAGCATCGATACATACGCTCATCGATTGTGCACCTGTTATTGCCTGAGCTGAGACTGTGCACACACTGACGTGAGTGTTGAAAAAGACAACAGCTCATGAAATACAATTACATACCAAATCAATATTTTCACACTGCTGCCGCTGGATTTCTTCCCAAGCCTACACATCACCCCAGTTACGCCCTGCACAAAAATTTTGGCCCTGCAGCTTGCGTGCCAAGCGCCACCCGCGCTCATGAGCAGCTGATCACCCATTACATCCGCACAGTCAAAATCAGTTCACCAATGCCAGAGCCGTTCAGCACAACAGATCTGCATCGCCCATCATCTGTCTTGCAGCACACCCCGTCTACAAATCAACAGATATTAAATGGCGCATCAACGCACCCAATCCATCCTGTCAACCGCTCACCCATGGAGTCAGGATCTGCTGGATGCAGGGGAGCGGCCAGCCACTGCCGTGAAACTCATGCTCGACACAATTAGCCCAAAAGTGGAGTGCTTCCCCCTTGGCCCTCCCCCGATAGCTGCCCACAGCCCTGAAGTTCATGCTCGACACAATTAGCCCACAATTCGAGCACTTCTTCCTCGGCTCTCCCCCAATAGCTGCCAACTGCCGCAGTGTCGCCCAAATACCCCATGCAGCACCCACCAACCCAAAAACTGCACCGCATTGGGTCAAAATTGCCACCCTGCTCATGACATGCCTTTGAACACCGCCTGGTCCCCGAGCTCCTGGCCTTTGAGGCCGCCCTTTATCGCCTTCTCGAAGAACTCCTCAAGGGTGTCTTTGCCATAGCTAGGGGTCTCATCTTCCTTGTATTTCTGCTCTTCAGGATCCCACACCAGCATGCTCTCTGTGGCGTAGTACTTCCCGATTCGTGCAAACTCTGCGGCATCCTGGGTACCCCATTGAACAAACTCATGCACTATGGTTAGCAAGGCTATTCTGGGCGGTGAGTTGCCAATTTCTTCGTATCCGCTGTCACATAGTTCCATACCACTGCACAATCTATTTGGCAATTGCGCAAACTGCCTCTTCAACATCTTCACTGCGCAAACATGTGAACGATGCATGGTGAACCTGATCTTATCCTTTTTGCTGTCTCTGCAAACCGCATCGCCATGTATAAGGCTAAGATGTCCACTTGTGGTTGCTACAAGCACAATTGGTATCGAATCCACAGAGACGCTATGTTTTTGTGCTGTATTACCATTGATGTTGTGGATCCGTGTGAGGCCCAGGCAATCATCAAACACATTCTATGCCACAAACAACATTTCTGTTCGCTTCCTGTACTCACTGTGAGCACCGTACATCGCTCATGAGCACAAGGGCAATGATTCGCCAAACTCCTGAAAATGGACTGCAAACGAGAATCACGGACAACAACAGGTGATTAGCTGACCATACGAATCACTGATGAACACCAATACTCAACATGCAACATTGCTAAATCTAATACAGTCTCCACACCACATGAGCAAGCCTCCAGCCCCTTTCAACCAATCTGCAACAAGACAAGGCAGTGCAGTACCAACACATCGCCAACATCGCCTTTGAGGTGCAAGGGCAGTGTTTGTCATGTTTATGTGACAAATGTTGTCCAAAGATTTGAGCAGTGTTATTACAATTAAAAAATCATGCTGCCACACACCTCAAGATTCGAAAAGAACCCAGCAAGGAAGTCAAGTACGCCGATAATACCATCCATCAAAGCCACAGGCACTTTAATGTATTTTGGCTCCTTGCCGCTCAACTCAAACTGCAGCTGCGCCTGCTGCAATGCGTTGTACGCCTGGCTTGGACCACCAATCGGCAGTATCTTATTGGTCTTGTCATCATCCAGCACACAATCGGCGATGAAGGAAGCCAAATCGGCTTCGCTGATGGGCTTGCAACTTGCAAGGGTGCCATCTCCAAACATCACGTATGGCTTGCCTTCTTTAACCAGGTCCACCTACGTGGTCAGTTCCAAGTTGCACTCAAGATTTCTTTGCCCATCATTACATCCACAGAATCTGCATGACTGCGCTGGACATCTCTTTACTCTGCTTCTGACCTACATCGCTGAAAGGTGGCACAGGCTGTTGACATCATGTTTATGCTGCTGGGAGCGGAGTTGGGTTTAGCGAACGCTATTTAATTAAGGAATTCATCATCACCATCGTCATCCATGACTGCGCTGGTGCCTAGTCACACAATTTCGAATGGTGGGTTTCCAACAATCTTCAAAGCAAAACTGCAAGTTGCCACTCTGCCTGAAGCCATCCAAAACGTGAAAGGGAACCAGCGAAAATGCCAAAAAATGTTGTCCTTCACATGCACTTGCAGCATGAAGACCTGTGCGAAATGTGGGTGGTAGTATAGAATGTGCCCACCTGGCCTGCGATGCTCTTGAAGAATGCGGTTGGTCTGACAATGCTGTATGTAATGTCTTCACATTTCTGCGCCCATAACTGCTTGAGTAAGAAAAGCAACCAAGTTCAAGATACTCAGTGCACAAGCATTTGGAAAGCATCATTTTGCCAGTCCCTCCTCTGAACCAACACTGTTCACCCTTGCCACCACACAATCTGTGCTATCAGTTTGGAGCATGAACTCTCTATTCCATTGCTTCCAGTGTTCACACAAGGACAAACCCACTGGACAATCCTTGGTTGTGGGAATCAGACAACAAACTATGGTTATTCACAAACCATTACTGTCCCATGATACACATATCCATGCTCAGCGAATGTGCTCAGGCAGCCACAAGTCCAACCGCATGTGCTCACACTGCCCACTTTTCCAAGAAATGAGCAAAGGGAGTTGCCAAGTGGCTACTGCATCACACACCTGCAGAGCTGCTTCAAGTGCAAGTTTTGCCTTTTGAAACTCCAGCAAGGGCTTCTGCACACAGATCGCTGACAGCAGGACATAGTGCTTCATGCCGCAAGCTCTGCCAGCCTCAAGGCAGTTCAAGGATGCCTGATAGTCGATGAGCCATGAATCTTTCTGCCACAGGCATTCATTCATGAAAACTGGCACATTCCTCAGCAATCTGAATCTAGTACACATGTTCCCTTTGTGTGACTGCTTAAGTCACACAGACAGCTATGATGGGGAAATAGCAATCAGCATGGAACATTAAGAAAAGAATACTAAAGACAATGTGATGGTGTCGAGCCATAAAAAGCTGTTCAAATGCAAATTGGACCAAAGCTCCTGCAATATCAGACATTCTTGTAGCAGAAACACAAGACTTTTATGATGGTGCCCGGGCCATTAGAAGCAACTTGGAGCAGGCAATGCATCGAGTATTGCAGCGGTTTCCAGAAGGCTGCATGAATGTGTCCATTGGAGCCATGTGACAGTCAACACACTGGTCACAGCACGTGTCTCTGCTAATTCAGATCAGACAGCATCAATCTGTATAGAGGTCTACATGGACCACACAGTGCTCAATGAAAAGAACATCACAGCCCCTGCAATACAAGATCATAGAATTTAACGGAGAAATACAATGGAAGCTGTGTGCCTATGTACATCCTACCTTTCCTCCTGTTCTGCTTGCCAGGCAGGACACCACAACATCAACCGGCTCTTTGAAAGCCACAGACTCCAGTGACTTCACATCCGTGACGTCCCCAAACTTGACGTCAGCCCCTGGGAATCCCTGCACAGGAACCCCACCTGGTGATCGAAACAGTGCTGCATGGTGCAGTGTTGCAAGCTAAGCTGCTGAATAAAACCGGATGGCACATTTAGAGCATCTTTAGCGGTGGGTGCTATTGTCGCGGCGGTGCTATTCGGCTATTCGAATAGCACTGCCGGCTATTCGAATAGCACTGCCAGTCGAAAAAGCATCATTAATGGTTGGGGAGCAATAGCACCCCAATAGCACCGCCGATGCTATTTGGCGCCGAGTGGTGCTATTCTGGCCCCGAATAGCACCGCTCGAGGCCAAATAGCACCCCAATATAGCACCCGGTGCTATTCGTGCAGAACATTGCAGTGCTGCCATGCTGCTGTTCGGCATAGGAATAGCACCCACCGTTGCGGATGCGCGAAAGGAAGCAATAGCACCGGTGCTATTTGGCAAATGCCACCTTAGTAAGGTGTCATGGCAGCCAATGAGAACCGTTCCTGAATAGCTCCACTGGTGCAATAGCACCGACCGATAAAGATGCTCTTACTGCACGCTATTTGCACGAAGACAAAATGCAGATCAAATGCTTCAAGAATGGGGTTGTCCCTCATCTGTTCATTTAATTTGCTTGCCACCCATCTGCAGCACATGTGGACAGTGGTCATTCTTGTGGCCAGATGATATGTGTTGAGCAGTTGCAATACAGAGAGGGTTCCCCCCATCACACTGCCACAGAATGGCAGTAGAATGATGGCATGCAAAGAGCTCTCTGATCAGAATTCAATGACATATGACAGAGCAGTGCTCTTGCACCTCAGGCAACACAAAACACTGTTCGCCTTCAAACGTGCTTGTTCCCATAACAACTTCAACACCCTCTCTCCACTAACACCTCTGCGCATACTGCGAGTACTGCGCATTGGCAGTATCATGGAAGGAAGGGAATTCACAATCCCTCTTGAGGAGATTGAAGGACAAGCCATTACTGCCCCTTGACTTGGTGGCTAACAGACCCACAAGGCAGATCAGCGTGTGCACCCAGGCAAGACACTGTCCAATCTCCCTGACAGCCTAAAATTAATAAATCGATTGTGCCAAAATGTGCAAAGCAGATTTGCATGTTAGTGGAGATGTACAGACCAGAAAGAATCACTGCTGGATCCTGCAGCTCATTGGTGCTGTTGACTGCTGCATAAACACCTCAGCACAATGCCCCGATCCTGAACTGATGCACTAAAGCAATTGTGGAGCATAGAGTTCAGATTTCACATTGTGCCCAGACTGACATGACAACTGTCCGCACGATGGTTGCCATATCTACTGGAGGCAAGCGCGTAAACACATATCACACTTGTAAGAGCATTGAACACAGGTTGGCCTGCTGCCCATATTGCTTCAGATGATTGAGAACTTCTGTACATCGCAGAATTTGAGTGTTGGTACCTTGATAACATCTTCTCCAGAAGCTTTGCCACCAATGCCACTCCGAGACCTTGCAAATGCGACCACATTGAAGCCCCTGTCAACTAGCTCTTGCACCTGTGCATGGAATGTCAAAACATATGAGGTGCTTCATGTGATACTTACCATAGATCATGGAGGATCGAATACAACATGCCATTTACAACTCAGCGACGGGATGTTGCAGAAACGTTTAAATGATGCCTGCGCTGTGTGCAAATAGCCACCCTCACAGTATCTGCCATACCTCCTGTACTATCTAGCATTACCCCCACACTAAATCTCCTCAACCCACCAACATCTTCCCTTTGTTGTGTTTGGTTAAACAACAAATCTTTGTAGATCGGACAAAAACATCTGAGCACCAAGCAACAGTTGTCCAAGCACCCACCTACCACAAACTTCCCAATGTATCCTGTGGACCCCACAACCAGCACACGAATGTCCTTGGGATCACGCTTCCGGTAGTCGTCTGTTGCAGCTGCCGCGCAGGGCCGCCTAGCGGACGACACCCGCACCTGAAAGATCACGGACACCCCACACGTTGTCGCTCTAATGCACCAAAGATTCTACTTTGTGGCGAACGAGGCCGCCTGATTCTCACCCACGTTCTGCTGGTTGCAACGATCACATCAATTCAGGGAATTTCTCCGAGTGCTTAAGACTGTTCGGCATGCTGGATGGTGGCATGTGAGTCTCCGAACGCAACAGGAGGAGCGGCACAAAAGCAGCAATGCCCGTTCACTTTCCAGGCAAAAGTTGGAAGTGTGCCTAGCCCCCTACCACCCCTGTGCCAGCATGCGAGATCGTTCCCTGCAAAAGGGCGCTGACATTGAATCCCACCAACGCAGGAGCAGGGCCACCCTTCACGCGACAAGCGCTCACTAAATTCACAGGCAGCGGCAGACAGGCCCCACAGCGGCTGGAGTGGCTCTCCCGCTGGCACCGTCCAACCGGACATCTGATCAACCTGCGCGACGACGCTACCCGATTTCCGGCAAAGGGCGGTGGGTGCAGCGCGGCAATGCCCCTGCAGCAATCCCTTTATGATCCGCTACCCCGCGAACATACGGTCCCCCCCACTCCCCACTCCACCTTTCGGCGAGGCACGATTCCGAATGGTTTGACTCCACCCGCCCATCCCCCGCGCCCGCATCGAAGTGCCGCTTCGGCGCCTGCGGCGCGGGGCCCTTCGCTGCGGCGGGCATCCGCCGAGCGGCACTGCGCCCGGGGAGCGGCCTCGGCCGCCGGGACCCGCCCGCAAGGGCTCGCGAAAGCCGCCTTCATCGGTCGGCAACGGGGCGCCAGATCGCGCCTGGGTCCCCGACGGGCAGTCGATGTGTTCCTAAAAGGGCTTTTTTCCTGATTGGATGATGTCGGGAGCGGATGAGTGTTGTTGCCCTTCTAAAATTGCTGAAAATTTGCTGAATCTGTTCTTTTTGGTAGTGTGGCTGCTGCGCCGATGGTTTCCCAACACATTCAATCAAACCATTTAATCCAATTAAACCATTCAACGGGTGAATTTCGCCGGATTGGGCGCAGCTGGCTACGACCTACATCTGGGGAGCTGAGGGCAGCATTTATGCGTTTACGGGCATGGCTGAATCTTTCACGCCTGCCCAATTCCATCCACTGCATAATCGTCCCACATGACGAGGCAAAGCCCTTTCGCCAATCTGGCTATGTCGGGCTGGGAACGCTTGCACAGTGATGTTTCCGAAGGATGCTTGTTTCCACCGAGCTGTCCGGAAGAAAACCGGCACTTCAACGAATCAGGAGCCGAAGGACAGAGGGAGAGACGCCTGGCAACAAGAGAGGTGACCGGGAGGGCTGGTGTGGCAACCGCTTGGGAATATTCGGAACCAAGCGCTGCGATCCTGTGGCCTCCCGCTTGAAAGGCTTAAGCCCTAATACCCCGAAAACTAGCAACAAAAAAACTCACGTCGCTAAAGGGTACCACATCATCAGTAAACAGACTACGTCGCTAATGGGAGCATTCTGCGTTGCATCATTTTTGCTGTCCTTGTCCAAATATGCAGCTTCCGGTTGACAAGCTGGGGTTTTGCTTATGAGTGGTAGCCCGTCATGATTGGAGCCTGGAGAAGGGGAATAGATGGAGTGGGGACGTCGGGCCACGAAAGAGCCTGTTGCACGAATCCAAGACGCATTAAATGTTGTCCACTTTTCGTGTACATGTATCCCAGTGCTTGTTTGTTTAGACATTATACTTCGCAAAAGAACTGCACAACACACCGCAACCGCAGGGATCTGAACATGTGATCACGGAAAAAGGATCAGGATTCCTTCCCCGAAGTCTCAGCCGACCCAAGGAGTGTAGGTCCCAGTTCCTCAACGAAATGCTCTTCCCAGCGCTGTCGCAGAGCCCCGACAAGCAAGCCGCAGGCGCATTCCCAGCGCGTCGCCCATTTTTACGCCACGCTTCAACTCCCCCAAAAAAAATCCCCTTGCGCACAACAACCCCACATCACTAAGAGTAACGCTTACACCTCCCTGCGCACACATGTCATGAAACTGACGCCGCCGGGAGCTGCTGCGAAGCCCCCTGCCGCCATATACATCCCCCTCGGTTCCCCCCAACTCCATACGCCATAACGCCCCACCGCCGCGGCTCCATAATCCAGCCCAGCCCCACTACCAGGCCCCTGTCCAGCCCTCCCCCCCCCCACACCCCCACTCCCACCCCCACCCCCACCCCCACCCCCAGCCCCCTTTGCTATGGAGGACTGCTGCGCCGTCTGTGCGGAGCCCCTGGAGTGGACCGCCTTTGGCGAGTGCGGCCACACGGACACGTGCTCCAAGTGCGTGGCGCGCCTGCGCTTCGTGCTCGGCGACCGGCGCTGCGCCATCTGCCAGCAGGAGGCCGAGCGGGTGTTCTTCACGCGCTACGCGGGCAAGTTCACGGAGCGCCTGTCGGCGGACGACTTCGCGGGGCTCAAGGTGGGGGGCGGGGGCGGGAGGGTGGGGGCGCGTGCGAGGAAAGTGGGTGGCTGTAGGCGTGTGTGTGTCGAGATGTGTATTAAAATCCCCGAAACACAGGACTAAAACCCCTAAACACTGGCCGTACATTGGAGCACCCGCTCCTGGGGAAGCATACAGCGGGGGCTGTTCCGCTTTGCAGCGCTGTAGGGCCACCAAAACGGCAAGAATTTGTGCGGGTGGGTGGGTGGTGAGTTGGGGGGGGGGTTCAGGATCTGATGCCACAGTGGATCGCCGGACTTGTGCGAAGTCCGTGCCAGCAGAGTCCGCCACTCAAGGGGGATGTCCATGGCGGGTGCCCTGGTGGTGGGGGAAGTTAATTCCAGGGGGCCTTCGATTCGGAGGCCAGGCTGACAGGGAATTTGGGAGGGCCGGGCGCTCACCCGCCTGGCGTGGGATCGACGCGGCAGGTGTAGGATCGTGGCTGGCGTCGCGGCGTGGTGTTCTAGTGAGCCGATTGGCTGCAGGGATGAATGGGAGCCTGCTGCGGTTGTTGGAGACAGGCCGTGTGGCCTGTGGCAAGGGCGCCTGTTGGAAGAGCGAGGCGTGGCTATTGCCGTGGGGGGACTGCGAGGATGAATCTGTGGCTGTGGCCATGGGGACCGTGGCTTGGGCCTGGTTGCTGAAGTGGGTGGTTCCTTTGGCGCAGGGGAGGGCTCGCAGCAGGGAGCTGTTTTCGTTGGCTGTGATCGACGGTTTCTTCGACGATGAAGATCATTTCAAGAGGATCAAGTGAGGCTATGGCACGCACTGCATATGCTTGATGGCCGCAGTATGGCATCAATGGCCGTGTGGGAAACAATGTTGTGTCCAGTGAGTCAGTTTGGGAGACATGCTGCAACGGCAACAAGATGGCGTTTGGGCAGGAATCTGTACTTTAGTGCCCATCAAAGGACCATTTGGTTATCTTGGAGCTTTGGTGAGGCGAGCTGGTCACGATGCTGTGAAACTGTCAGGGACTTGATGGGGCAGCATTGGGTCTGCAAGGGAGGCTATTGCACTGGGATGCACACAACAACTTTGAGCATTGGATCAACTGCAAGTACACACCCTGTATGTTGAAGAGCCTTTGTTTCAAGCAAAGCAACAGCTATGTTTGCCTCTGCTTTGTCCTTGCACAGAGCTGTTGGGATGTAGTTCCATGGCTTGGATGGAATTGCTCCTGGCTGCAATGTGCTGCAGTGTGTTGTTGGAGAATGGACACGTATAGAAGAGTTCAACAACTAACGCTTTGATGCATAGGTCCTGCTATTGGTGCAGCCTGCCACTGTCTTCTGAATCAACAGCTGTTTCCCTACCCTACCTTTGGGTACCTTACTCGCTGTGTCTGGTGTTGCTGAAGATCTTTTTGCAGTTTCACACACCCCATTCTCGAGTCTGGCGGGTCAGATGGCAACCTGCCCCCCTTCAAGACTCTGACAGCTCTGCGTCGACACATCCAGGACAAATATGACAGATACTTTTGCAGCATTTGCCTCAATGGAAGAAAGGTGATCGGAGGGACAGAGAGAAGATAAGAAAGGGGAAGGGAACGCCCTGTGCTGGAATGTATATGATATTTGTGTGACATGGTGTTGGTGGCTTGCTTCACAGCAGTTGGAATGTATGTTTGCTTTCGCTGTGTTTGTAGCTTGCTCGTATTGGCAGGTGGTTTGTGCTGTCTGGCATCGGCCTATCATTTCATAGCCAGTAGTAAAGGGCCCACCTATCCAATGTATCTGCTGTCTTGGATGCTGCACACCACTTCATGTGCTGCCTTGCTGATCATCTCTGCTAGCTGGCTGCTGTCTGTGGCACTCTGGTCAGCCGATAGGGATTTGTGCTCCACAATATAGCTAGCTGGCTCAACAGCTGCTATGAGTCTCAAATTCCTCTGCATTCGTGAAAGATTAGGTTTGGCTTTGCAAATTGTCGACTTCAACCTAGCTCAAAACCAAGATGGTCACAATGCAGAGTTTATTTCCCCAGATGCACACCTCTAGCCACTGGTAGTTTCTATCCTTTGTATTCAAATGCACATTTGATGCACCAGCCATCTTGGTGGAGCACTCCCCACCAGTTGCACGTTTCAGCTCTTATGGCCATCTGTTGAGACAGCCCATCATGCACTGCCTTTTGGGTCACATGCGCTATAATTATTGAGCAAACACATGCTGTCGCGTTCTTTTCTTTTGAAGTGGACTTTTAGAGAGAGATATCTTGACCACAAACAGCAAAGACAGGCACACGAACTAATGGCTTGGGCACAGAAGCAGCGTGCGATCGTGCAGCACCTTGCCACGCTTTGAAGTCATGCATTGTGGCAAAATGAGAAACAAAACCATCATAGATACCATGGGCACCAACGCAAATCTCGTGTTCATCAAAATTTCACATTCCTCTTTGTCAGTAGGGGTAATTAAAACCAACCACCCTTTGCTTCCCCTATGAGTTTCTAATGGACAGCTGGGCAACTGTCAAGCCGCAGCTGTCATTTTGTGCCCTCGTATGTACTACAATTTACACATTCTTCACAGATGGCGGAATTATATATCTGCTGCTTTTGATGGGAGGGCCTGTGTGCAACTCGTTCGTGGGGCCTGCAGTCACTTTCGAAGCCAGTAGCTGTGCTCATTGGACAACATGGACCAGAAGCTTGCAATCTGCCAACACAGTACACGTGAACACAGCTCAGCACTTCATGTTGTGTGCAGCTGTGGTGCTTCATCGTATTTGGTTGGGAACTATTGCTACAAAGGGAACGAGCACTGGCAGATTTATACTGTGCCGAACATCGCCCATAAGGTCCAACAGGCAGCACACTGACATATTGGACAGCAGATAAACAGGGACAGACCAGATTTTCGAAATATCTGCTAACATGTTCATTTGTGCACCATTTTCCCAGGCATTTGTGTGTGAACAGCTGTTGTATACAAAGAAGTCCCTGGACAAGCACCTGAGGGTTGGGGATGAGGATGGGCCCATGGCGGCCAGTGGCTTCAAGGGCCACCCGCAGTGTCGATTCTGCCATAAAAGGTTCTTTGGCGAGTCGGAACAGTTCCAGCACAACCAGAAGGAGCACGAGACATGCTTCCTGTGCCGCAGGGCCAACCCAGATCAATACGTGTACTATGAAAATTACCCAGAGCTAGAAGGTATGTGGAATGTGGCACAGCGTGGCTGGTGCACATGCAATGTATTTGTGACGGCTTCCGGCATGCCACAAAACCAAGCCCATGAACAGAATATGGGGGTGAAGGTCATGCAGCACAGCTGGCTTTGGGGCTTTGCTTTTGGATTCATTCTCCTCTGATAATTGACAAAGGAATGCTGGTGCCAATCCTCAGTAAAATGTGCCCGGGCGCTGTTTGACCTGAGAAGGCAGATGGTGCCTATGAGAATCCTGTACCACCAATTCACCTTCAATGCACAGATGGCATGCACTTGTGGAACCCAGAAAGCATCTGGCGTGGGGTTGTCATTGAAGATATCATTTCTGGAGCCGGCTGGAAGGTTTGCATCTGTGGTAACACTATGGCAGTGCTATCAGAGCGATTGGACGCAGTCCACGAATGGTAAATGTACCAGGGCTGTAAGGTGCATGTGGCCCCATGCTCAAGAACGTTGGTGACATCAGTGCAGCAACATGTGCACAGACGACAGCGGGTGAGTAGCTGTAGTTAACAGTAGTACGCCATGCAGCTTACATTGTGTTGTGATCACTTAATGCTTTATCTGCCAAGATGCGATCATCCTACAATGACAAAAAAGCCGTTGGTTCAAGAGCTGTTTGCCAAGATGACTTTCTCATTGTGCAGAACATTTCTTCTCTGCACACCACCCCTGCCCACATGCATCATGCCTGGAGAAAAGGTTTGTCATTTTCTCAACGGATGCGGAGCTGAAAAACCATGTCGCAAAGGAGCACAAAGGAGAGATGATGAAGGGGATGTCTCGGGCACAGCTGCGTGGTGCGCTTACTCTGCAAACCAACTTTCAGGTGCGTCTTCAGTGTGAGTGGGATGGCATTCCTGTGGGCGAAACGAGTAGTTGTCAGTGTGGTGCAAGACAAGCATGGTTCTAAGCATGCCCAGAGCTTGGGAGTGTGACAACAGTGGAGGTGGCAGAATTGCTGGGCAATGTTTGGGCAGATATGTATTGGAGGTGGAGCTTCTTGTGGTGAATGCAAGATAGGAAGGCGTGTTTGAAGAGTTACATCTGAAACTCGTTTGGAAATGGAAGAAGACTTTCCCAAGCGCGACAGGAAATGTGTATCATGAGATAGCTTGAATAGCAACCAAACATCAGGCCAGGCGTGGGGGAGGCAGAAGAGAGTCACAGAACATGGACATAGCACATTTTTGCCTTTTCCTTTTGTCCTGTGCATCGGATCTGTCTTGGGTAGCAGCTGTGTGCTACCTGGTGGTGCTGACGCATCTCTGTCCCGTGTCATAGTTGAGACCAAGGGACGGTGATGGGGAAGAAGACCAGGGCGCTGGACCATCCAGTGGGATCGTAATTGGGGGTGGTGGCAACGTCCACAGCAGAATTGTCCATGGCAGGAGGGGTGGCCAGGGCTACGAAAGAGACGTTGCACAGGCGATGCAGGCAAGGTTACGCAAGGAGATGTAGGGGCACTGAAAACTGAAGTAGCTGAAAGCGGAATTGGACACGCATACCAGCAAAATCGTAGATGTGCTACCGTAACTTGTTTCAATTGACACTGTGAAGGTATCCCATTGTACAGAGAGCTGTCACGCTGCCTGTGTAGTGATGTTGGTTGAGATCATCGTTAACAGTGCACAGCACTCCTATGGTGACATATAATCGTGGTCATTGCCTTTGAAACCCTGAAGTTCAAGCAGGTTTCTTGGAGGCATCTTTGTTGGTAAGTGCCATTGCACCACGCGTCAATAAAACATCATCAACAGTTTAGGGAGCAGCAGCACCCCGATGCTGTTCGGCCCTGAGCAGTGCTATTTAAGCCTCAAATAGTACCATTCAAGGTCAAATAGCAGCCCTGAATAGCGCCCAGTGCTATTCGCATAGAACATTGCAGTGGTGTGCCGATGCTGTTCGGCATGGTAATAGCACCCAACGCTGCAGATGCGCACAGGGGAGCAGTAGCATCGGTGCCATTCAATAAATGCCACCTCAGCAAGGTGGCATGGCAGCCAATGAAAACCGTTCCTGCATAACATTGCTGGTGCAATAGCACTGACAGTTAAAGATGCTCTAAAGCAATACTGTTGTATACAATGGCTTAGGGCATTGCTTCTGTTGCTCATTAGACATAAGGCACACAGCTGGCAATGCTTCATTGGCACACCACAACCTCGACTGGCAACTTTTGCATGTAGTCATGGCCACGTCCATACCTTGAATGATCCAATCGGCGTGTAGGACAGAAGTTGCAAATATGACAGTTGGGAATGTGCTGATCGTTAATTTATTTGCATGCTTGACCATATTAGCAACTACCGATCTCATCAACTTGTGAATTTGGAACAGTTGTCATCGAAACTCTGATATTGTAACTCTAGTAATTCCTTCAAGGGAGTGCATCCGCTGCTCCTCATCAGTCTATGATCTGATTTTGCAGACCGTGAAGTCGATATGCCTCCACTATTGCAGGGAATGCTGATCATAGCAGTTTTCTCACAGGCTCATTCTTGGTGCACAGAACAGCATTGCTGCCAATAGCCAGGGAGACAGGTCTGCAGCCCCCCAGGCCGGTGGGAGCGACACAGAACAGGCGCACAACTTCAATGAGCAAGATTTTCCCACAGTCTCCGATGCTCATGGTAGCCAGGCAGGGCCAAGTGCAGGAGCGCCAAGTGCCAGATGGGCTGCAGGAGGTGACTGTGCATTTTTTGCTGTTGTTCATCAAAGTGTTCCGTGTGTTCATCAGTTTCGTCGTTTATCTGTTGTATTACATGTTTTGTGTGCATTACAGGGCATTGAGGTCAACATCAAATAGTGCACAGTTTCAATCCCATGCTTGCAGATGTTCAGTGTAGATGCAACCTGGAATCATGCACAGAATCGCTTCCCACGTGTCAAGGTGGTGATTTCATCTTTCATTCATATCATTGGAACCAATGAACCACAGCAGTATGCTGTCATTTAATGCTTTGCCACGACCCAGAGCAATGTTCTTTTCTTTGTGAATTCGCCCATGCGACAAATGTTTTGGTGTTCACATCGCTTTGCATTTTCTTGTGAGATGGCACAAGGCCCAGTCATTTCTGCAAGGACACTGGGGCAGCACTTAAAACTCCTGAAGCTGGTGTATCATGGTCTAATCTTTGGATTAGTAAAACAGAAAGAGGGTAAACATCGTTGATGTTTTAATATTTCTAGTCAGCAGACATTTACAACTTGAGATCCAATCACCGGGGTTGGGCTTGACTTGACCACCTGTTTCCCATCACGAACAGCAATGCAGCAATCAGGTTCCCTCTTTTCTTGTATTGTGTTCTGTTGGCATTTGCAAATAAAAGCCAAATGCTATTCTGCTAACATCTTCCAATCGCATCGCCAGGCCCCTCTGTGACTGGCCCTGCCCTGCACGTGGAGGACTTCCCAGACCTGCCCGGGGCCCCAGCTGTGAGGCAGCCCAAGAAGAAAAACAAACACAAAACCGCAACCTTGGCCGAGCGGCTTGCAGGGGGTGCCACAGGGGAAGTCAGAGTCCTAAACAAAGCCCAGAACAGGGCCCCCCCACGGCCGCCCCCACCACGACGACCTGACCCCCTTCCACAAACCCAGGCTGTGCCATCCTTGTCACCACAGCGGCCCTCGCAAGCAACCGTGCCGCACTCGGGCCCTCCTTCACGAACGCCAAGCCCAGCCAGGCCAGGTCCTGCTGGCCCGGCGGTGAACCATCCCACCAGATCGCCGAGTCCTGTGGGGCCACCCCCTGCCAGTCTGTCCCAGGGAGCCGCATATTCTGCAAGTACAGGGAATGACAGTTCTGTGCCTCGTGCTGGGCCTTCCTCTGTGCGGCCCCACCAAACGGATGTGTCGCAACCTGGAGGAGGGGCATGGACGGGCACATCGGGCACAATTGTGGAAGGTATGTATCACTTTGGACCTAGTTTGTGCTTGGAATTCATTGGCTAGACATGGTGTTGATAGGTGCAAGGTCAGTGGGTGGTCACAGTTGACAAATGCAGCTGATTTGATACGCTTGAAGTCTTGACACCTGCCATTTGTCAAGAAGCGAAAGCCCAGTAGAAGCCACTTGTGGTCGGCATGGTACAGCTGTGTAGGCAGTGTGATGTCCCGCCGCAGATCTCCATTTGACTGTGGCACGAATGTGGAGGCTGTACATGCTCCACATTTTGTGTTGTTGTCAGCCTCACCTGTTTCGTGAACGGGGAATGCTGTCCACTGAACATGTCACCGCAGAGAAAGATGCCTTGTGCCTAGAAGGCCAACCACATTCTCGAACTGTGCATCGGAATCTTGGCTATGGTCTGCTCATGCCATGCCTGATGTCACTTGTCTGCTCTCTGCAGCATCTGCAGGCACCAGCCGTTCCAGAAGTGCGGGCCGTCCACAAGAAGACTTCCCTGCGTTGCCCATGTCTAGGCCACATTCTGGAGCCCCCCAACCTAGGCCGCCTGGTTTTGAACAAAAGGCAAACTGGGTGCCTCAAAAGCCAACTTCCCGGCCTTCGGGCAATCAGGCGAATCCAAGGCAGGCAAGTCTACCCAGGCCTGAGGACTTTCCTTCCCTGCAGTCATCGGGTCAACCAGGGAGAAGCAGGCAGGATGGTGCTGCGGGACCATCGAGCACTGGCTCAGCGACTCCAGCTGTCAAGATTTCCAATGGCATGAAGGCTATGAACAAGGTAAAGGCTGGTTTCGCTGTCCCTTGTGTGGTTGTAGCCTGAACAACAGGAAAGCAGGGTGGGCATGCCAACGTTGTTTGGAACGTATGCTGTGCAATGCATGGCATTTCTGTCCATTGTGGCGGCCTTCAAAGCACACTTCTCCAGACATTTCTTGCATTTTCAGCACAATACCTGTTACACTTGATTCTGATGCGTGCTTACTATTATTCTTGGTGCCTGCCGTTTAGGCTTTGATACAGAAGATAAAGGGCCAAATTTCAGACGATGCGTTTGCATCCTTCAAAGAGCAGTCCTCAGCATTCATGTCTGGCCGCATGTCAGCAGCAGACTTCCACTCTAGGATGGTCAATCTTCAGATCGTCCATGTAGCCGTGGAGCTTGCGGGCCTGTGCCCAGACGAGATGAAACGGGCTGAGCTGCTGTCTGTGCACACGGGCTTCGTGCAAACAAATCGTGCGGTGAGCATAAATCGTGTTTGAGATGGAGTTGAGAGGCACTTGGGTGTTTGGTGGAATGGCTTTTGCTCTAGATCTCTTTGAAGTGAACGTGTTCCGCATTGTAATTTTGCAACATACTCGATAAGAGAAGTTTGTCCATCACCTTCAATTTCCCAACATGAAGGTCATGAACGGTACTTGGGCCTTAAAACCTAGAACCTGCAAATGAACTTGATGACCTGCATGTCTGTGTACGGGGACATTTTTGTCAGAGTACCACCAGAATGACCAGGGACCGCTGGGTCCAAGACAGTCATGGAGTGTGGTTGAAGAACACAAGTTGGCTAACAGACAGTCTTTTTGTAGTTGTGGCTGCAATGCTCATCGTTGTGCTGAAAGTACAATGTCACTGTTTTGTTTACCATGGCAGTGTGATCACAGTTCAGTAATGCTTGTGGGAAAGTTAAACCTCTGGACGAGTTTGTAGATACTGATGGGCCTGCCTGACATCCGATATGGACTTCGCACAGCGTTTGAGATCCCACATTGTTCTTCATCACTCTTCGTGTTGAATATCATTGTGCATCTGAATATCAACATGGATATCATGTGCTGGAAAGGGAAGAACAGAAGCACCCATTTCGCTGCACTTCATGGTGTTGTGCTGCAATGTCCTGGTGTGCGTGCCTCAGGTGGCCCTCGGGGAGGCCCTTGACAACTTTGCGAATTTTTCGGCCTGGAAGTGCACCAGGTGCAGTCTCATCAACACGCCCCAGGCAGATTACTGTGAACAGTGCGACACCTTGCGGCCCCAGGCCCAGTCCAGAGCTTCTGCGTCTCGGGACAGTTTTCGGCGGGATGGCAATGGTGAACCGCAGCTTGGTGGCAAGAATAGGGGCAAGAAGAATGGGAAGTTGCCAAAGTTCGAACGGCTGCGATTAGGGGATGGCTCCGCGGGCTCCGAGGACGTTTTCGGCCTTGGTGGGGAGGCCGACCTTTCGAACAAGGGCAAGGCGAATTCGCACAACGTGTGGACTCAGAACAACTTGTTGAAATCCGGAGCGCAGGGCGCAGGTAGTGTGGGTGTGATGAAGACCTCTGCGTGGAGGAAGGGTCCCTGACCTAAGGGGCTGTTTTATTTGTGCTTGGATAGGTCGTGACACTGTGGGGGGTGAGGCCGGGAGGCCCAATTGGTTGGCGGCAGGTGCTTCATCCCCATCGAGGTTGAAGGCAGCCCGCTTTGAACTGGCAGCGTAGGTCATTTGTTTCTCTGTGGGTGTGAATTCCTTTTGCTAATGCGGGGCGTGCCTGTGTTGGTACTGGCATCTGGCGGCCATCGGCGATCAGTGCCCGTTGTTGCATAACGTGCAACACCCCCACGCCTTCCTGGGCCAGTGTGGTGCACTCGCCTTTTGTGCCTACCTTGGCAACAACCTCAGGCCGACGGCATCACGTTGAGTCGCTAGCAGGATGAAGCCGGCATGTGCAACGTCTCTGCCAGACCTAGGCGCTTCCGCCGCCGAAGTTCAGAAATCGAGACTCTCAGACTTCGCAACCCAAGACGAGGCGCGAATCAGCGCCGCATAAACGATTTGGTGCACGGGAGATTCGCTGGACAGACTCAGAAACCAGGAAATAAAGACACGCCTATCCACGACGTTTCGAGGAGGTCGCAGCCGCTGGAGTCGTTAGATCCCCTAATCCCACGTCCCTGCAGAAGCCACGACCAGCACATCTTCTCATCAAGACTTGTCATCAGTATCTTCGTATGCCAAAGTGATGCACCATGGGGACACCCCCTTGACGTCAGCCTCAACGCAGTACAATGCATCGGTTAAACAGTGTCAGTTTTAAGGGCTCTGGAATGCTCTGCTTTTGTAGAGCGCGAGTGGCACACCCACGCTGCTCAGGTCTGCACCAAACAGACTGGTGCAAACAGCCCTTCTGTCCGGAGGCATTGTTGTGTGCCTTTTGTACGCAAGCCACGCATGTTGCGCATCCCGCTTCGAAACGCACATAGTTTTATAAACAATATTTCGAGGCTGCTGCAGCGCAAATGAGGCCAAATACAACCCAATGGCTCAAGGACAATTACAGGGGGCAAGTTGCGAGCCATCTGACCTGTTGCAAGCGGAAGCATTCCCCTGGATCGTTTGGTGTTTCAAGAATCGAGACCCTGACGCCACGGGGCACACCGTCAGATCCCGAGGGGATTGTGTGCCTGTCGGCAATATTTACATTGTGTCAAACGCATGTCTTCTCGACACACAGCAACCCTTCGAGCCGCCACAGCCACCCCCCAATGCAACCATCTTCCTCGCCTGTGCTTTCAGTTCCATTTCCTCATTTCAATCGAATTGCATTCAATCGCTCATATAAAGCAATTAATCGCCAATAGTCCCAACAAGATTCTGAAAAACCATTGCAGATTTGTAGATTGGACCATCAGGCTGCCAACATACCCTTTCTCCCAGAGTAACGAACAGTAAATTGAGCACTGCTCAGCGCTGGTGCGAGCCACAAGGCAGTAAGCCACGATTGCGAGCCACTGAGCAATGACCGCTACTGAGCGAACTTCTTCGGAATGGGCAATCCTTCCATGCATGCGCCGTCGACTTGGCAATCTGCCTCCGCAACGCGGCCATGGTCACTCTGGTTTTGGTCGCACTGATTTTCGCATGTTTGGAGGCCTGCAATGCCACACGTCGCACAGTCACAATCTCCTCGAGTAAACGCGGCACTGCTTAGCGCAGAGAGGCGAGACCATGGCACGACTGGGCAAAATTGTCAAACAAGGATTCCACATGAGATCTCCTCAGGATTCCTTAGCCAATGCTCCTTGTCGATTTGCCTCAACGGATAAGCGGTGTGGCAATCATCGGAATGGATAGCGGCTCAGCGCCTTGAGGACGTTCTGCCTCCGTCCAAAGCCATCACGTCTTCAAACTAGTCAATGCCTCGCCTCATTCCTATGAATGTCATGAACATGACAGATCTTATGCCCTGCCACCGGCGGCACTGCTGTTGTCGCTGAGCGCCTTCCTTGCTACGTCCCTCTCAAAATCGTCGTCACGTTCGGCCTCGGAGCCGTTGTGGATGATGGAGACCCATACGCCAGAAAAGAAGTACCACACCATGTGCATGACCACCACAGGCTGCAAACAGGAAAGCGAGTGAATTCCGATTGCGCAGCAACGCCGGGCAATGGACGATGGTACAAAGACAGCTGCAAGTTTGCGCATGGGACCATGGCTGCATCTTGGCGTATTTATGTCCACGCTGAGCTTTGGCAGGGCGCTCAATCGCGTGGTGTTTGTCGGCAATATCAACACAGCCCTTGTGAATACTGCATGATCATAGTATATATTGATGTGCTCTATGTAGCTTCTAATTTGAGGTGGAATCATCTCAACACAGTTGTTTTACGTTTTTGGTCAATGATCGACCTCTCTTGCTTTTCCAACCGCCTGATGCAGCTCTGGAAGTCACAACATTAATCCTCAAGGCTACAATGCATAAGTCGCTATGAAAGTGGAATATGCAAAGATATTGCCAATGAATTCAGAAGACTAGATATTTTGCAATAAGTGCAAAACATTAGGTAAAACACCAATTATGATGCCAATGTTTCCAATAGTTGGTGGGTAGTTTTGTTGAATGCATAGGAGAATGATGCAGTCAATTTCCAAGCCCTTTTTGCCATACTGGATATTTCATTGCAATCGAAAACAATCATGTAAGCACATTTTGCATATCTTGTATGACCACAGGCAAAAAAAT